ACTCAACCTTGAACAAAGGAAAGGTTACAAACCCAGGGAAGGTGAGCATGATAGACAGAATCCACTCAATATTCAACTTAGAGTTTATTAGTCAACCCTTATCCAGATGGGTCAACCGAATTGCTTATAGATAATGCAGCATTCTATTCAAAAGAGATAATACAAAGAACGATTTAACGTCAATTCAAAATATGCATCTTGTATACAAAGGCCAGTATTCATGTGCAGAGCCTCGCCGATGAGATGCTATGGAGGGCAGACTAAATACAGATTTAACATTTTAGCATTACTTAATGACACAGGTTGTTCTGAATGGAATCAGCAGCGAAAATTGGTAATTGTGGATTTTACCCTATTACTAAAAATTATATTTACAACAAAACTGAAATAAGATATTTCATGTACCATATTAGTTTCCTTTAGTAGATGTAAAAGTGCTAAAATATAAAAATCTTACCCACTCTTCACATACCCACTACTTCTGTCTTCCTCTTGAGGTTTTATTTGTTTGCAAAAGTATTTATTCAGTGGAAAAGTTGTCAATTTTTTTGAGTCAAGAACTAATCTTTGAAAATGTTCTAATTGGAAGGAAGATTCTTGAAATGTGCATGAACAACATTCCATTACATTGTTGGTATTTTGGACAAGGATCAAAATTTCTTTGTGCATAAATGCCACCAAATCAAAAAATAAAATATGTCGGAAACAGATGATTAATGAACTTTTCATTCCGAAGTATTCTGAAACATGGGAATTTCAATACTTTCGATTATCAATCACTGATATGTCTCGCTGTTTCATCCAGTACAGAATAAAATTTGGAAACTTGGCTTGGAACAGTATTTAAAGAGTAGAATCTAATGTTCCAAATCGAGATGTTTTGTCCATGGTGTACAGACCCCAACCAGAAATAAGGGGTAAGAGAGAGGGATCAGAAACACTACATACTAGAAGTCTAGAACTAATCTAAGGGCAAACACTCCTCAATGTTAAATTAAGAAGCCATATTAAATTTGTATATATAACCATTGGTTTATGTATCCCGGATCCCGAGGGGTGGCAATGAAAGAATTCGATGAAGAAATCAGAAACCAAGATAAGCTTAGAAAAATTAGAGAAGGGAACATATACTTTATGTACAACGAAGATTCTTGTCAATGAACCCGACAAAGTGATACCAAAAAAAGGGCATGTTTATATTCCTTTAGTTCAATTTTTTTGTCAAATAATTGTTTTTCATGACACTATGTGATGAACTTCGTTTCTATTAATCATATTGTGTTTTTCCATTGTATTATATTCACACAAACTAAAATATCTTTTGTTGAATTCTAAAAGCCCGACAAGGAATCAGATCAGTTCAATCAAGATGCATCTTCTGATGTATTTCATCACTATTTTTACTAAAAAATGCTGCATGTTTTACTGAATTACCTATTTCTTCCAAGTGCTTCTCTAAACTCTGACATACTAGGAGGCAGAAAATCCATGACGTAATCGTGTCTCCTTGAACGTCGGTATTTGCAGGTACCTTTAATTACAGTCAACAAATTGACACCATCTTCCTGAATCGGGAAAAAAATAGCAGCTAGTCAAGCTTTGCATGCTTCCTTCTACGAGAAAGATAACCAAGAGAGGTTCACAACTTAATTGCAACAAAGGCCAAGTGCCACAGTGCTGTGTCCTAGAGCAGTAGATAATATGGTTCATAAAGTGCTATAGCAAAATTTTTGTGAATGGCGGATGTTACTTTACCAAAAACGAGAGAGAAGCAGGAAAAAATACCACTACACAAGCACATTATTATCCAATAAATAAAGCACTTCTGTTTTTTTTTTTGTTTTTTTTTTTTGGGGGGGGGGGGTGATGGAGCATATTTGATCCAAGCAAGTAACATATTTTCAAAAGATTTATTTATCATTTTTTGTTAGGAAAATAAACACTGTATAAGACTGCTGAATTTTTTCTTAAGTGACAAAAAACCCGTTTCGTGCCCACAAAGAACAATTTCTGCATAAACAGAAATACCATAAAACAATTTCTACATAAACAGAAATACCATAATAATGGTACAGTTTTGAATTTGATATTGACTTGAGATACCGTATTACAGCATGTTTTGTTACATCATCAATCTTCACTGAAATTATGCAATGATAAAACAACTCATAATGTATGAACAAAAAGGTTGCTCCTACTCGGGCTTGGCTCCGCTAGGTTCAAAAGTGTTTGTGCAAAATCAAAGTAAATTTGAATTTTTGTGAAAAAATGGCAAAACAATAATTTGCCACTTCGGTGCGGGTTGAAAATCATATTTTTTTAGAGCTCAGATGAAGAAACGGACCTCACCGTTGGAATCCTCCTTGCAAAATCTAATTACCCAGTCAATTTTCCTTGAATTCTGATACAGTCAAATTTTTCATATTTTACGAGGCAATCGAGTGTCGCGTAACCTAAAAACAAGAAATGGAATAAAATTTCGAAAGTTGAAACATAATTTAAAAAAGTTCATATAAAAATATTTTGAACTTGAATCGGAAAAAAATTTAATCGCCTCGAGACGAAAACGGACCTGGGAATGGAGGACGAGTGGCGCAACGACGGCCAAGCATTCCAAAGGGTATAAAATATAAATAGGGAAGAAAATCAAATTTTCTATCCAAATTTTTACTGGGTTTCGTTGGAGAGAGGAAGAGGTTGAAAAAGAGAAAAACTCAACTTCTCTCTATGATCTATAGAGTTCCTTTGATCGGAATTTTTCAGGCCAAGAATCAAAATTGATCTACACGACAAGGGCACACCTATATACCAAAAAGAACGGGTTTCACCAAAATTTCTGAGACGAGATTTTGGAAAATCAAGGGTTTTGATCTTGCGTTGTATTTTTGTAAGTTCTACCGTTGCTTTTACACTTCAAGAGGTATGATTCTTTCCTAATTAGGTTTATTTTCAATCTAGGGTTCCATATGATATGGGTAGCATGACTTGGGATGAATTCTCTTATTTAATGTACTCCTAGTGTAAATAAAGTATAGAAAATGGGTATAGAAATATGCTAAACCAATCTTGCATGAATTGGGCTTATAAAATTTACTTGTTTGATAAATTCATGAAAAATGTAGGTACTTAAAATATGAAAAATGGGTATTAAGAATAGTTAAAATCAATTCTAGCATGAATTGGATATGTAAAAATTATTTGCTGTGATTTCTTGATATATGTGATGAAATTGGGCATATTATGTATTTACATGATTTGGTCTCTTGAGCGTGTTTGATTAAATGTCTATTTGGATTAAGTGTGCTATTTGCATTGATTACATTATAACATGTTTGGAATTTGATGTTGGTAAGTGTTGGTATATACATATGATATATTGACATTGAAGTTGTTTATGGTGGTTATATGCTTATGATGTAATTTACCATGAAAAAAAATTGATGAATATTAAATTGTTCATAATGCGCTCATGAAATATTAAACATGGTATTGTAATTGCAATTGAGATCCTAGTTGCATAATGACATGAAATGCAATTGTATATTTATATTGCATATCCACGGGTAGCATCACATTCGTGGCGTTTGACATGAGTGTGGGTGTGTGTGCATGGTTTGATCAAACACCATTTTTGGTGAATGATACGTAGACTCGGGATAGTTGGACCGAGGTTCAATTGAGTTGCACGGTTTACATTGAAAATAGGGTCGAAATTAGCAAGAAGGGCTAGATTCTTCTTCGGGTGCAAGACCCGGTGATTCGGATATATTGAGTTCATAAAGTGTGTCGCGTACGCAGAGCTGTTGGTGAAAGTCCATTAATGTCGTGTCGGTTGGGTGCTCTTGGTGTGAGTCCATAAATATTCACCCCAAGAAAGACCAAGAATTTAAAAAAGTCATTGGATGTGAAACATCAATGGTGGAGGCTTGGAATGCCCAAATTTATATGCATAGCATTACATGTATTGAGAGAGCCAATAAAGGCTCGGTTTGAGTTACATGTGTGAGTCTCATCTCATATCATGGCATGGTATTGAAGATTTCATTGTTGAATTGCATATTCTTGAATGGAGTGATTGTGTTAGCATTTCATATGCATCTAAATTGGGGAGTAGTCTCTTTAGAAGATACCCTATTGAGCGTGACTCACCCTTTATAGGGATAATATTTCAGGTGTAGAACATGTGCCGGTGGACGTCTCTCATTCGGGCCCTCATTGATGAAGAAAGCCAAAATGTGAGTTTTAAACAATGCTTTTGTAAAACTAAGATGTCAATTAGTTTTTTGGCATGTAATGTATGTAAATGATTGAAATCGAATTCATATGGACTATTTTTAATGTAAAATTGCATGTTATTATATGAGTATGGATAAATGAACCCGTTGTAACCAATATTGTTTGATTGCACAGATTGTGTTTTGGGTAGAGCTCCCCATACAAATGAGACTATGCCCGAATTTTGTTAAGTTGTGGATCCCAGTAAATAAGGCATAACGGCGTGGTATCAAATTACACGGTATCCACGGGTATTCTGTAGGTTGATGGGTGATCAACGGATTAATTATGGACACCCAGATTTTGGGGCGTCACAGTTTGGACTTCACTCTTAATTCAATTGCAACTAGTGTTAAGCAAAGAAAAATCCATGAGTTGGGGCAATTAGATTAGCCATTATGGACGCTTGTTCATGAACCTAAACAAGCACACTTGTTCTTATGTTATACAAATTAACAGGAACAACACACCGACCTTAGCCGAGCCAATCATGAACAGGCTCATTTGCAGCCTAATCAATCATTAGTGTTCATCACAAGACCTTTAAATCATTGAGCTCAATATTGGCACCAAAGATATTGAGTAAAGAATTCCAAGTGACAATTGTTTCGACAGAATAAAGTTTTACAATGCATACACAGATATGAGGATATCTTAAATTTGGTCATGATGAACATTCAAATATTAATGTCCCCTAACCATTCAAGGACATCCCATGAACTTCGTTATAGAATGTTCTCAACAGCGAGAAGTTCACTAGCCTTTTCCATACTAGCCACTACATTTAAACTTGAGAATAAGAAGCAGGATCAATTTCAAAGCTAATATCTGGTGGAGACAGTTCACAACAGTCCAGAGCATCGTAGCCTAACAGCATCATGGCTAAAAAGAGAAAGAAAGCTAAAAGAATCCTCACCTACCAATAAAATGGAATGCCCATTGTCCTTGAAGTAACGAATTTTGCAGTTCTGTAATACACTTGAAAGCCTTCGAGCTTCATCTCTACTGGGAAGCACGTTATCCTTGCCACTACAATCCAAAAAGTCAAGCCTAGATTTCAGATTCCATCAGGAAGTACCAGATTACACATTACAATTTACAAGTATCTTATGTGCTTCATCTCATAAACATACAGGAAAGGAAAAAGAAATATCTGCAGAAGAAATAGACCTGTCAACACAACATGACTCTTAATTTTAACTGAAAGTACTGGATACTAAGTTGTATTATTCAGGAACTAGTTTAATTGGACAACAAACAGAACACACTGATTACATTCTAATCTCCTTGACAATGACAATTATTTATGCTCAATTCGCATACTTTAGGATGATCTATACAACAAACATAACTTACACTTCCATATTACAGTAACTTGGTGTGTGTAAGAAAAAGGCCTCGTCACAAGGCTGGATGTAATCAAATTATGAACATGCAATTAGATCATGATTCATGATAAGGGTAAATTAGATAGCATCCCTAAGTTAATTCATTTTTTTATTTTTATAAATAAAATTACACAAAATGAAAGCAAGTAAATGTACATGTTTTGAATTTCAAACTCTATCCGTAATTACTGAATTTATGGTATATCAGCAGTAGGAAAATGACACTCTTGAACCAACTAAAATGTACATGGTGATCAATCATGCACCGCATATCTTCTGTGGTGAAAATTGACTCATGTACCAACCCAAAGACCGAGGGAGCAAAGATCGCACAGTCCAATTGAGTGCGTAAGTATCCCTGTGCACGCGCATATGCCTATTGTGCAAATATCTGTTCGCCATAAGTAGGAACAAATTATGAACCATTGTAACAAACAAGTGAACAACTGCAAAGATAATGTGGTCCAGATGGCTTAGCCATCTTTTTCCAGACATCGATGATACCGAGGAATTCTACACAAAGCATTGATAAATCATGGAGTTGAAAATATAAGGCACAAATTTCAGAACCAAATCAAAATCCACAAAGATGCCCAAAAGCAAATGTACATGGGGTGTTCTTGCATTATTTATATTTTTTTTCTGGGGAGGGGGAAGGGGGAGAGGGACTTGAACCCTTGACTTCAAGAAGACAAAGCCTTTACAAGACAAGGAATACCATTGGACCAAATGCCCATTGGATCATGCATTATTAAGGAAGAAAGATCTGCATTAAATCCAAAGAGAAAAGAAACCTAGCAAGCACAAGTACTTCAGCCGTAACGGCATGTAGACGGGAATTGGCATAATCAGCAGCTGATTTGAGCAACTTCAACTTCCAAAGCAGACTGTCCTTGGGTATTATATCAGCCGAGCCCTGACAGGAAAAGTGCTTGGCAACTGAGTAATGCTTTGATCTTGCTCTGTGAACTAAAACTTAAAGATCATGGCATATATCTGATAGCATCCAACCACCTACTGACCTGGATGGAGAGAAATAAGTTGCAAAGTACAACTCTATAGTACAAAGGTAATAACCTTCTCATCCCCAGAAAAAAACATAGTGCATTATGACAAAAGTAATGAGCAGAAAAAGAGAAACCAATCAACAAATGGAACAAAAATGTATTTCACAAGAGACAACTTCATCAAGTGGATGGCAAGTACAAAGTCAAACACCTTTAATACAAAGCAACCGGAAACCCTTCAAACTCATGAGACTAAGAAAGAGATGGTACCCGGGAGTAGGGGTGTTAACGAAGACGAGCTATTCGGACTTTGGTTAGGCTTGGCTTACCTCGTGTTCTAAATGAATTGAACTGGAACAATTTCTTAGGCGCAGCTCAAGTTCGCAAAACTCGACTCATTTATATGTAAAATAGTCAAATTACTCGAGCTTGGCTCAAATTCGGCCCGAGCTCAGGCTTGGCTCAAGTTCTAAATAAGCCGAGTTTGAACAATTTTTCAGACTCATTTAAAAAAATGAGCTCGACAAGCTCAGGTTCAAGCTCACAAAGTTCAACTCGATTAACACTACTACCCGGGAGCAAAAATAGGCTATGTCAAGGGGAGATTTTGTAGATTGTAAAGATAGAGATACCGGAGGACTGGAGGACAATATAGGCTTCTCCGACAAACTTGGAGTGGCTTCTAGAGTCAATATAGAGGAAATAGAAGTAACTTAAAATTAAGAATTAGACCTAGCACCTTAAAAGGAAAGGTAGAATAAGTACTATATATATTAGATTCCAGAGGATCACCTTAAGACGAACAAAATGGTGCACCCTCATAAAAATAACATTAGTACTTATGAAGGACTCCACATTATGGGATTCAAGCATTTACAACCTCTTAAGAGTACAAAAATATTTAACAAACATGCACTTCAGCCACAACAAAAGAATAAACTAGCAAGCCATTAATCCATAATCACCTCAATTCCTTGTGAATCGGGATGTAAAGCATCAGTATTGAACAAATTTTCCTGAGATAGTACCACACGGGGACTGACTCACAATACCACTGGGTTCACTATCCTAAAATGACAACATACATGTTGAAATCCACTCTCCTTACCACAACTGCAACAAAAAAGAAAATCCTTCGATTTCCTTATTCGGTTAGTTTCATATAGAAAACCTAGAACACACATCTAGGCAAGTTATTACAAACAATAATTACTAGTAAGTTACAAAGAATGGTTACAAATCATTAACAATTCTCTGCCACCGTTTAAGCTACTTAAATCAGAAAATTATACATATATTTCATTAATTACATCTGCAGACAATAAGAGGGACTCTTTTCATGGTTAACCTACCTGGTACTATAAACTCAAATCATTTTCTCCTCATGATCATCCACTATCACAATTTCTAGCTCAAACAACAATATGGAGAATGCAAGTAACCACCTAGTTGATGTCTATGAAGATTATTAGCCACTACCCACCACTTTCCTGCTATTGTACACATTGCTTGCTAAGTATCAAATGGCACTCATAGCTAGGCCTTAACCATGCACTCCAGCAGTTTTGAGTAAATATCTGGTATCCAATAGGAAGGGAGGAAAAGAAAGAAGAGGTAATAGGGTGACAATTTTAGAAGTACAAAATTGGATTTGAAATACAGATAATAACAATGACAAACTGAACAGAATAAAGAGTGAGCTCCAGAAGTATAAGCTGTTTTTGTAGTACCCAAACTTTGCAGAAACTTCTGTTATGAAAATTGAAGCAAGCACAAATACGGTCGCAGAAATAAAACAATAGAAACTGAAACATTTAATTGAAGAAATGTTTCATGCAACATGGGAAGAAATACCAAATTCAGGAAAAATCAATAGAGTGCAAGCATTTCGTACAGAAAGGCGTGGTAACATAGCAGTAAGGCTCCCATACAACTGCTCAAGCATTCGTGCAGGAGAAAGCATAGTTCTGATATTGACCATTTCCATCTTCGTTGGGCCGCCTGATTTCACAGAAGTGCACTTTCCAAGGTGAGATATATTAAATCTGCAAAGGGTTGGCTGCTAATAACAAACAAACAACATGTAAATCTATACCCTGATTACATAGCGTATGCAATTTTGTAATACGAATATGTAAAATGAATTGTGCCAATAAGAATTCATACAAACTTGGACATTAATACTAGCGTAAAGGACAAGCAAATAGAGAAATGATGCACAATATGTTTTGGCCTAACATGTCAGACCAGTTCTTCCACAAAAGCTAACATTCCCAAGGGCTGCTGCAGGAAAACATTGTGTGCATATAGTACATCCTCAAGGACCCAGCAAACAAAGGAAAAGAAACAAAAAAGTTAATCAAAAGGCCTTCATTGGAAGGAAAACTTTGTTTGCTGGCCGGGTAATCTTTAGAGAATCAAACTTTTCTGAATTAATTCAAAGAAAAATAGTACCATACTAACAAAAATCATTATATTTTCACTTCTTTTTTTGAGGTGTTGGTTGGTTGTTGGGTTGGGTTGTTTTTTCGGCTTTGGAAATGGGGGGGGTCTAGATCGCCCAAAGAAATAAGCATTCAGTCAATTTGTATCCCAACAATACAGCTCCCATGAATTTAAACACAACCAAATGAGCATGTAGTAATCTAGTTTTTAGTGGTTCGCACGGTAGTGAGGGTGAGGGAGACGATTGTAAGGATTTATAATTGCAACTCAAAATTCTGATATTGGACCACCTGCAAGGATGATGGTGTACGCACATTGGAGAAAGAGGTGGGGTGACGGTGGTGGCGCTTATAGCAACAAAAGAGAGTAATGGTGGCTTTGATAATGGTGGCGCAGAAGCAGCTATGCTTATAAAGTGACCTGGTACCTGCGGAGGTGATATTATAATGGTGCAACTAGTTTGTAATGGCCTATTAATGGTGTCGGTGATGCTTGTCTTGGCCAGCAATGGGGATGACTAGGAATAGAGGTGTGCTGATGTATAGCCAATGTTGATGCCGTTGCAAGTGTATGCCAATTTATAAATAAGGAACAAGCCATTTCAATTCCCCACGACATAAACTTATCTCAAACTTTTTGTGGTTCACTTCTTCCCCAGATTTTACCTATCTAATCTGACGGATAATATTATATGATGAAATTTTTACTTTCCCACCCAAACGCAATCCCCCTAAATTCTCCCAAAATCACGCATTGGCCTCCTCTCACGCCCTTCTTTCTCCTCCCCCACCCACTAATGCCCTAATTTCACTTTCCCACCCTTTCTTCCTCTCTCTCTCCGACTTCTCTCTTTCTCCCCAACCTCTCACAGAACCCATGGTCATGGATCAAAATTCGTTTCGGTATATTATTTTGGTCACCTTGGAAACGAAAATATTTCAACATATTTCAGAAATATTTTGACCCATTTCGAAAACATAATAAAAAAATTAAAAAATTAAAAATTTAAGAATTTAAGAATTATTTTTTCAAAATATTAGTCGAAATAAACTAAAATATCTTGAAATACTTTGAACATTTCAAAACAATTGTACAAATGCATTGAAATAATACAAAACACCTCAAAACATTACAAAACACCTCAAAACATTATAAAACACCTCAAAATATTATGAGAACAACTCAAAGTATTAGAATTTCGATTTCATCACTAATTCATTTCAGTCCCCTTGGAGACGGAAATGTTTCGACCGTTTCAAAACAAAATTTTGATCCTTGTCCATGGCTGTCCCATCTCTTCTAACTCTCTCTTTGTGACTTCTCTCACCAGCTAGGAAGCACAAATACTCAGTGAGGGGTTGTCGTGGCAGTGTCCGACACGAACAAGCGTGGGACACAGCCAGACATGTGTCTGACACCTCTAGAAGTGTCCTGCATAGTAAATTTAATTTTTTTCAGCCGGATACATGGGGATACGGGGTATACGGTGGGGCTGCTTTTGTTATAAATAACAAAAACTTAGAGGGTTAAAACAAAAAAAAAGTGGATAGGCGACGTTTATGGGCTTGAAAAAAGAAAAAAAAAAGGCAAAAGCTGAACGATCAATGATCGGCTTCGACTCCCAGTCTCCCACTTTCCACTGAGAGAGAGAAGAGGAAAACGACTAAACAATCTGCTTTGGGCTTTCAACAACAAAGAGCAGAGGAGGAGAAGGAGAGGAAAGAGGAAGACCAACCTGCTACAGCTGCCTGCTTGCCTGCGATCGTTGTTACCACTTACCAAGTTCCTCTTCTTCCTCTTCTTTTTTATTACGTAAGATCTTTTTTTCTTACTTTTGTTATGTGGGGGAGTTTCAAAAACTTAATTAGGTTAATTTGATTGGATTAGGGATTTAGAGTTTTCAAATTTTGGGGATATTTTGAGAATTTTTTGTTGTTGATGTGCTGTTATTTTTTTGGTCTGGTGTTGCTGGTTTTCAAAATCTGAATTATGTGATTCTACCCTCCACTCTTCCTACTGTGTTTGCTGCATTTTTTTGGATTTTATTATTAATGTTGGTATATATATAAAAATATATAAAATTATTTTAATTAGCAATATTCTTGTTGTACCCGTGTCCTAAGTTTTGAAATTTTTTTGTATCCCTGTGTCTGTATTGTATCGGATACAACACCTGTGTCCGTATCCGTGCTTCTTAGCTCACCTACCTTTCCTCTTCTCTCTATCTCCCTAATATCTCTTTCTTACTCTCTATCTCACTCCCACCAAGGCCACCAGTATGCGTCTCCACCTCCATTCCCCACCACCGAATAGAGCCACTAGCGCAGCCACCACACCCCCATCGACTCCCTTTCTCTCCTCACTTTTCACTCTTCTCTTTCCATCGACTCCCTCGCTCTCTGCCTTTTCACTCTCCCCCCTAATACAGCAAACACCCAGCCAAACCTCAAATACTGCCCAACCCCTAATCAAATAACCGTTAACATTATACAACGCAGTGTGTGTAACTTTTTCCACCTTTTTGGTCTTGCTCGCAAGATGTTCAAGAAAATATATGACCAAAGATCAAAATTTTATTTCGTTGTAATGTTTCGGTCACGTAGAAAATGAAAATGTTTCGACATGTTTCAAAAACATTTTAACCTATTTCGAAAATATAATGAAAAAAATTAAAAATTTAAGAATTATTTTTCCAAAATATTAGTCGAAATCTATCAAAAAATCTTGAAATATCTTAAAACATTATAAAACAATTGTGCAAATGGATTCAAATATTACAAAACATCTCGAAATATCATGAAATACTCAAAATATTAGAATTTCAATTTTATTACTGATTCATTTCAGTCTCCTTGAAAACAAAAATGTTTCAAATATTTTGATCATTTCAAAACAAAATTTTGATCCTATTATGACTAGGATTTGGCTTCTATGTCCGTATAGTCCTTTTTCTCTATGGTTTCTTGGTTTTCTATGGGTAATGTGTTGAATTTATATTTGTTTCAGATAGGTTTTCTGTAGGCAACTATTTCTATGACATTTATTGGATTCTCTTCCTTGAATTTTGATTGTCTTTTTTGAAATAATTTATTGCAATTGTTCACATTATATTATTACTTATTGCAAGATGCTTTAAATTTGTCTGTTGTTCTTGTATTTGCTTGATTGTTGATATTTGAGTATTTGTTGCATTTCAGCTCATGTTCAGTTATGTGGTTGTATTTCTATGTTTGACTATTTTAGTTCATACATGATTTTGGTGCTGATAAAAGTAGTATTTGAGTAGCATTTTCAGCTCAAGGTTAAAAGGTTGGTCGTGAAGCCATTCCCATGAAGTTTAAGGAGCTCATGGATGCAGAAAAAGGGGAGAGACAAAGACAAAGAGCCGACAAAAGCTTGAGAAGATCTGGGTAGAAAGATTGGTTTTCTTGGGTTTAGTTGTGAGGATTTGTTGATTACTTTGGGGTGAGCCAATGTTAAGGTTAAATATTTTGCATCTGAATCAAGCCAAAAAAAAAAATTAGTTGAGCAGCTACAATGAGGACATATAAGGCCCATTGCAATGTTTGAGTGAAGCTGCCATTGGTGAAAACAATTCAGATATTTGAACAGCATTCATCCTCATTCTCTTCTTCTAAGTTTGTCTAGTTTGCCTTTTCATATTATTCTTTTTGTGTACTGAGTTTATACTTCTCTAATGAACTTGAAAGCTTCGTCATGGATAGCTAGAGTCATTGGGTTGCCACATTCTTCAAATCCTAGATGTAATTCTAAGCACCCCAAATGTGTAAGTCCACCCTAAAGCTAATTTTTTTCTGTTATTTTATTTTAATTGTTGTAGGCGAGTCGACAAATATTGATATGAAGTTCAGTGAATTCACAACATTCAATCTCTGATGTTATTGGGGTATGGGGTCTTCTCCATAATTACTTTTGTATCCAATGCGAGCCGACTTTTTTGAATGTTTTCAGCCTTTAAATGTATTACTACAAATGTTTGGCACTTTAATTATATCTAAGTCTTTGTTTACCTCAAGACAGTGAGATTGATCCATAGTACAAATTTCCTGTGTTGATCATGCTTATGTTTGAATTTTGGTTATAGTTGGAAAAGCTGCTTGTTAAAGTGTAAGTTTGTGGCAAAAACATACTATTTCGTCAATATTTACTTTAATCTCAATTAGGTTTTTGTAGAGCCTAACCCACAGTAAGTTGTTAGTGACAGAACATATAAATACTAGATTATATTATACAATTTTATTTTTTTGATAAGAAACAACAATTTTTTTATAACTAAAAAGTCAAATTACTTTCCGAAAGAAAAGAGTCAAATCAATGGTGGACAAGAAGTCCAACACAAAACAGTGAAAAAAAAAGACAACAAAATCAAAAAAACCAACTTACAAGCCACAAGAGGCTTTCCAGCTAACACTAATGCAAAAGAGACGAATGTCATCATATGAGCATTGTATTTCAACACTTATATTGCAATCCTTCCCTGGTAGCATTGTATATCAACATTAATGTTTGCACTCTTCTAGAAAAAGTAGGTGTTATTTTGTGTTTAAAGGGAGAAGTTGTCTTGTCTTAGATATCGTTTTTAGATTTTAACCTTTGTAATGCTGGGATGGGTTTATCCGTAATGGTTGGAGGTGGTGCTAGGTGATGGTTTTGAAACAGCTAGGTGATGGTTTTTAGTTTGGTTACACAGTGCCTTCAGACACACTAAATATTCCTCAAATGTGCACTCATTGAAAACACCTCTACTGGCAATGCAAATATAGTTAGTGAATTTATGTTCTCAAATCGCAACCAACTCAGTTCAAATTTACAGCACTATAGTCCAGGTTAACAGCAAAGCATATAACAACAGACCAAAAACAATTCAACCAGCATGCCAATTATTGGACGCATTAAAACATTTCCAGTGTTTTATGATTGATTCGAATCCTACAAAAATTTTGAATCCTACTACAATAATCAAAGCAATAGGTCATGTACCCATTATGAGGCTAAGAAGATAGGGGACTGTAGCATAAAATTCATCAGGCAAAGCCTCCAAGAGAGGGAGTGAAGGCTGCAGCTGTGACCTAAATGAAGTTGCTGAAATGAATTTAAACTATTCATCAGTAACGATAAAAAGGATACTAACTAAATGTGCTCAGGTAAAATATTAACATTGTACAATCAAATGACAAAGTTGCATCTCTGAAAGCTGACCTGGATTCGCTAATATCACTACTTGGTCAATCGTAGGATTGCGAGCAGCAACAGCTAGTGCTAAACATCCTCCAAAGGAATCTCCTATGAGATAAATTGGCCTATTTGGAGATGCAGCATGCTCAAGCCTCACAGTTCTTTCCACCAATTTCACCAAATCTTCATGAAACAAAAATTATCATTCTACTATACCCTAGGACCTTTAGGCTCTGATACCATATTAATGTTATATAGATGGCAAATTAAAAGAAAAAATAACACTAGACTTCGGGTGAATATAGAGAAATATGACTGCACAAAAATTAACCAAACAGCTGAGATTAGGACTTTATTGAGTTGAGAATCCTGAAAACAGTATTAATTGTTTCTTATGTAATTGAACTATTGCATACAGTGCTACTAACTGCATGAAAAATAACAAACATGAAATCGCGTCAAGCCATCATTTAGGTAGACCAACGTCAAGCATACCAAAAAGGTAATTACAAAGTCCTCAGCCTGGAGTTAAGCTTTTGAGAGTGTAGTTTAATACTAAGCAGGGGTTTATTAAATGTTAGATGTCAATTACGGAATATTTTGTAAAGGCAACTGGCATATCGATTTCCATAAATATTAGACTTGTTTCAGATGTTCTTTTTGCGGTTTAATAACTGATTTTGGATCTTAACATATGTGGGTACTGGCTTAGTACCTTCTTATGAAATTTCTAATGCCAGAAATGTAATATTTAGCCTCCATCTAAAATTTATTATTATAGAAATATCATTGCATTTGGTGAAATTGTCAGAGTTAAAAAACTTAATTTGGGGTGGAGAAAATTATAGTTTATAATATCTTTTCTCTTGGTGTTGATATTGTAATCTAAAATACATTTTGACCCACTCCAAACCGCGTAATGCAATGACGGGAGCCTCGTCCACTACGCTGCCCTTCGAAAAGAAAAAAGAAGTTAAAAATTAAAATACCAATAAAGTAATCCTAGTGGAAGTACGAAAAATGATTACCGCTTTTTGAGTCCTTTGGTATACCTGTGTATAACCATACATACTGAGAGAGAGAGAGAGAGAGAGAAGAAAACAGCCCATGCGTCCCAAAAAAAAAGGAACAGCCAACACAATAAAAATAGGGTGAGAAAATAACGTGAAAAAGGATGTAACAAGAACACATGGAGAAAGAGAGGGAGGGGAGGGAAGGAACTAAAAATATGTAAACTCTAAGAACAGAAACTCATTTGTGTGAAATACAGAAGTGTCACAAGGACCTACCGCTTTTGCACAATATTGTTGCCACTGACTCTAGCATGTTCTGATTAACTGTATAGTGCTAAATTCGACTAAGTACGTTTTCAATGGACACACACTATAACATTGAAAACTACATAAAAATAAAACACAATCATGTGGAAATTTCCTCTTCTTCCTTAAACTAGAAAAGACTGCAATTAAAAGGGTAGCCTAAACCTAGGCTAATTGCCTTAGAGAGGCACCTTCCTTCTGATGTAAATTCCATAAATGGCAGCTGAATCACATGATGAATACCATTAAGAATCTTAGAAGAGAAAGTGGAAATACTGATTGTATAAATTATGAAATAGGAGATCATCTTGATTTATGTGCACAATCTATGGAAGAAATTTATGAAGCCGTGTTACATTGTTTAACAAGTAGGGGTTGTGTGGCTTCAGTATTGAAGAGTAGATTATAGAATCATAACACATTAAAACTCTCTAATCCAACCTTATACTGAATTTGGCCGGCAAAAATACTCCTTATTATATATAGGTTTATTTCAAATACATGTATGAATAATACTCCTTATCCATGCTATTGAATCAATTATAATATCACCTAGAAATATGATATTATAATTTAACTAAAGCGTATTAGATTATAAATTTGCTATTTTACACACCGCATAAACTAAACTATATTGATGTTTTTTCTATCAATATATAATTAGTACTCTATTATCCCACTCTTAATTTAGTGACTTGTCAAACACTCAATTACGGCAAGAATTAAAATTTTGTTTCGAAATGATCATAACAGTCAAAACGTTTTCGTTTCCAAGGAGACTGAAACGAATCAGTTGATGGAATTGAAATTCTAATATTTCGACTTGATTCATAATGTTTCGAGGTGTTTTGACGGATTTACACAATTATTTTGGAATGTTTCAATGTGTTTCAAGATATTTTGGTATTTTTCAACCAATGTTTTGAAAAAATAATTCTCAAATTTTTTATTCGTTTCTATTCTGTTTTTGAAATAAGTCAAAACTTTTTTCGTTTCCTAGGTGACCATAACAATACACAAAACAAAATTTAATCCTTGACAGTGGGTAATATTTTTGTCCCATATTTAATTTTATATTTTACGAGCTTATATGAACTTACCAAGTATTGTCTAATACAATTCATTCTTTTATAATAAGGTAATCAAACGAGCCCGTAAGATTCAACGAATAATCAACATATTTATTGTAGAAAAAAGGTTTTTACACAGTATGGATAATCAAGTTTATATGAACAATTGTATATAACAACAGCAAAAATGAACTTCACAATCAAAAATGAGATTAATTTAAAAGCAAGAACAGAGTAAGACCTATAAATGGTGTTCGGTCATTAACAGGAATATGCAAGCAACGAACTTCAAAAACCCTGCATTGAAAATATTGCTATGGTAAAGATATAAAATTGAACATGATATAAAATTTACTGAATCAAAATGAGTTTAAGCATCATATATTCTAACCAAAGTACTACAGCCATGATGCAAGAGACTCCTTTTTTTTCTTTTTCTTTTTTTGATAGGAAACGAAAGTTTTATTAATAACAAAAGTAAGTTCACTCTTCCGAAAAAAGGTGGACAAATTGTCCATCTCTATACTCAATGTTGTGAAAAGTGAGCCTAGGCACTCTCCTATGACAGAAGTGACGCAAAGCAACCCTATGTCGCCGAGAACAAGCCAGGCGAAGCGGCCGTAAGTGAAGTTTGGGAAAAGCAAGAATAGGCAAAGAAGTGAACAAGCGAGAAAAACAAAGAAGTGATCGCCTTAGTGATTCTTATGGATTGACACCAAAGGTATGTCCTCTAATTCTTCTCCTCTTCTACTTCTCCCTTTCTTCGAATTTTCTTGTTCTTCTTCTCCTCCTCCTCGTCTTCTACTTCCTCCCTTCTTCTTCCACGCAAAAGGTATGTTCTTTTTTTTTCTTGCTATGTTTATGATTTTTTTATTCTCCTCTTCTTCTACTTCTTCCTCTCTTCTTCTACTTCTTCCCCTCTTCTTCTTCTAGTCTCTGGAACATTGTTGCTATGATGCTAATTCTATGAGAACCACCTCCCCTCCTCTTCCATTTCCTTTTTTTTTTTTTTTTGATTTTTTAATTTTTTGATTGTTCTCCTCTTCTACTTCTTCGCTTATTCTTTTGATTTCTAGAACTCTAATGTTGATTCTGCTAGAACTTCCTCCTCTTCTACCCAGTTTTCTATTTTCTTTTTTTTTTTTTTGTAGTGTTTATGATTTTCTGATTCTGCTAGACTATTGCATTAATTTGTACTCAATCTAGTTTTGTTGTGTTAATGTGTTCTTAAACTGTGTCCCATCTGTTTAGATGTTGATTCTGTTGGCCTGCAGTGTTAATCTGGTTCTGTTGTTTAGATGTTGATTCTGCTCCTGTTTGATTATTATTAGATGTTGATTATGCGTCTATTTAGATGCTAAATCTGCTCTTATTCAAATTAAGTTATTAAACTAAAATATTTGCTTTTTTTATTGTTCAAACGCTCACTTCATCTCTCACTTCTCTATTAGACTTTAGAAAACTTATTCGCTTCAGTTCACTTAATGCCTTAAATAACACTGCCTATACCATACAAAATAAGAATAAAAGCATTAAAAAATAGTAGCAAATTCTAGCAAGTGAAAACACCACATGTCTTCATCCAAGAAACTCGCACTAGTTCCACATAAGGCTATCCAACTTGATGTGACAAAAAGAGAGACATTCTCAAATTCATCTGTCACCGAAGCCCAAAATGAAACTAAGAAGCAAGAACTCTACCAGAGTTAAGACGAGCAATTGGAGAAAAAGTCTCAGAGTAATCCACACCATATGTATAGGTGTAATCATTGGCAACCAAGCGGGCCTTCAAATGATCAACAGAACCATTAGGATGATACTTCCCTGTGTAGACCCAACGACGGTTACCAGAAGAAAGAGGAATAAGGTACTATGTCTAATTCTCATAAAGGGTTTTCATTTCCACATCCAATGCCATTTTCCAACTAGGTGATTCCAGTGCCTGTTTCAATGAGCTAGGAACAAACCCAGAAGATAGACTAGTTGCAAACAACGAAATGATGAAGAAAGTCAATGAAAATAAACAAAATTAGAAATAGAACGTTTAGTACCGTTACGGGTACCTTTCCTCAATGCAATAGGCAAATTATGAGAGGACGAACTAGTCAACGACTCAAATGACTGTACCTCAATAGAATCAGGTACTAGTTGTGGAGCTGAAGCATATAGAACAACTTGTCAGTCCTTGGAATAGCGATAAACCTACAAGGGAGGAATAATAATTGGGGAGGAAGAAAATACACAATCTGGTACCATAGGCAACAAAAGCTCTCCCTAACTGGGAAAGACTAAATTTCAAAAAAAAAAAGTATGTTCTAAGGCAGAAAAGAAGGAAGAGGACTCAAAAAAGGTAACATCAGCACTAACATAGTATCAGCGAGAAACAAGATCATAACAACGTTAATCTTTCTGAGTACGAGAGTATTCCAAAAAAACACACTTAATCGAGAAGGAAAAATTTATCCCGTCCCGAACCAACAAGATGAAAAAATGCGATACAATTGAAGACACAAAGAGTGAGACCAAATAACAGTTTATCAGGATAGAGCAATGAGAAAGGAGACTTATTGTTAGGGGTGTCAAACGTGTCAGGTTAAACGATCCGTACACGACACGTTTAATAAACGGGTAAAAAATCTCAACACGAACATGACCTGTTTAATAAACGGGTAACACGACATGACTCGTTTAACCCGTTTAATTTTAAAAAAATTATATTAACAAATTTTAATACTCCATTTTTTTTATATTGCCAATTGCACTTACCTCAAAAAAGAAAATTTTTTAACCAAATCTCATAAAAATAAGACTTAAAGGCCTTAAAAAAAAAGTAAAAGGTCATTGCTTTTTATAGGCAACTCAACCCTCCTCATCTCCCCTCATTTTTCAACGTGGGACAAATAAGACTTAAATGCTTAAAAATAAAAAGTAAGAGGCCAGTGCTTTCTATAGGCAACTCAATCCTCCCAATCTCCCCTCATTTTCCAATGTGGGACAAATAAGACTTGCCTTTGTCTTTGAAGTGTTCCGCATCTCCTCTCTTTTGTCTTTGAACTACTACTTTACTTCTTTTTTTTTAATTAATTTCTTTACTTTTTTTTTCTTGCTAATTTTTTTAAATAATTATTAATTTATTATTATATTAATTTTATTTAAACGGGTAAACGTGTGATAAATGGTTTGACAGATCTTGTGAAACCTGAGAAAAATTTAAACTTTTTTCGATAAAGGGCAAAATGGTAATTTATCACTGTTATGCGAGATTAAAATCAATATTTTTCTAGAGCTCGGATGAAGCAACGAATCTCACAGTTGGATTCGCATCGCAAAAGCGAACTGTCATGTTAATTTTCATCGAATTCTGAGATAGTCAAATTTTTTTACGTTTTTTGAGGCGACGGCGTCCAGTGACCCCCAAAAACGAAATCTTTATAAAAAATTTTAAAAGTTGAAAAATATTTTAAATAAAGTTTATATAAAATATTTTGAGCTTAAATCGATACGAAATTTAATCGTTTCGGGGTAAAAACGGACTCAAACAAAGGAGGACACTTGGCGCAACGAGGGTCAAGTCTTTAAAAAGTATAAAAGTGGGCAAATATCTGAAAAATCAGATGTTTTCTCTTCATTTGGCCGGCTGGATCAGACCCAAGAGCAAAGAGGAAAAAAATAAATTCTTCAAGCTTTCTTCCGCCGATTCTCGGAGTTCCGTCGGTCGGAATTTGTCGGGCCAAAAATTAAAGTCGATCTATGCGACGAGGGCTACGCGTGGGTACCAAAAACAATGATTTTCACCGAAGATCCAAAGGGAGAATTTTGGAGAAATCTAAGCTTTGAGCTTGAATCTTGTTCTTGAAGTTTTCTACAAATTCTTTACACTTCAAGAGGTAGGGTTCCTCCTACTCGGACCTATTTCTAACCTAAGGTGTCTATAGGATTCATGTGGGCTGTTTTGGGTATTTCTAACATTTTTCCATTATGGTTGGTGTTATGATAATGGGTCGGATCAATTCTAGTGTGAATTGGTAGTTAGAAAGTGCTAGTTTGTGATTTCTAGAATGTTTCAATAATTGGTTATGTAAAAATCATATATTCTGATTTTTATTTTGCTTGAAGTGGTCCATATAAAATATTTGCTTGATTTTGATATATGGAAGTATTTATGTAATCCCTTGGGAATTGGGATCATGTGGGCATGCTTTGTGTTTTATTTTATGCCTTATGAATGAAATGTGATATTAGCATGTATTATGTGTTATCATGTTGATAAAGTGTTGATATATGCTCTTGGATATATTGAACTTGAAATGGTTATGGTGATTATATGCAAATGATATAAATTGTCATGGTATACATTGATATATAAAAAAAATTGTTCATTTGGCATGCATTGTAATATAGACATGGAATTGACAATCACATTCATGGGCTACATGCATGAGTGTGGGTGTAGGGTTGCATGGGATGTTCAACACCAATATTGGTGCTTAATGGTGGGCTCGAAAAAGTGAGATGAAACGTCCTACGGAGTCGTACGGATACATACATAAGAAAACTTATGTCAGGTATAACAAGTAGGACTAGATACTCCATCGGGTGAAAAACCCGGCCACTTGGTTCATACACTTACTGGCAGTGAAATTCCAGAAAAGTGTAACGACGTACGGAGCCAGAGGTGCGATTCCTAAATCCGATACCCCATAAAGACACATGATTTTGATATATAAATTATTCATTTGATGGAAAACATCCAAGAATGAAATAGTTTTATGACATATGGTTGATTTCAAAATGATCTTTGGCTGTGTTTCATCAAAGACGTGTTACACATATGCGTTGCATTGTGTTGTGGGAGTCGGTGAGGACTCGAGTTAAAGTTGCATGAGTGAGTTCCATCTTATTTCATTGCATGGCATGGTGAATTCCAATATAGAGTTGCATATTCTTACTTGGAATGTTGATGTGAATATGAACTGTCAAATGTGAACATTGCATGTCCACTTAGGTGGGAAGTAGCCCTTGTAGGATATACTCTACTGGGCGTTGGCTCACCCTATACGGGAAACATTTCAGGTACGGGTCATACACCGAGGGACGGCACTCACTCGGGCACTTAAGGAGAAAGAAAAGCCGACTTGTGGCTTCCAATCTATTTCTTTTGTAAAAATTAGACTTGTAATTAAATTTTGGCATGTAATGTGTAAAGGAATTGTAATAGAGTCTATATGGACCGTTTTAATATAGTCTTGCATGTTTGTATAGGTATGGATAATTGGACCCGGTGTGGCCAATGTTTACTTATAAATGGACCCGGTGTGGTCATTGTTGAATATTAGACCTCGGATGGGTTTTGTTATTATATAATGCACAAGTTGTGTTTTGAGTAGAGTTTTCTTTACAAAGGAGAC